CTTCAGCACCTCGTGTAAAGCAGTATTAACATCCATTACACCTCCAGCAGCCAATGCCTTCCTTGGCCATGGCGGTGGGTTACCAGTGAAGCCGAATCTTGAACGTACCCAAGCCTGAGCCTCCACCTCTGCATGACAGCGTTGGCAGGAAAAGAGCCACCAGGCTGTCTTATCTTACAGACAGGATAGCTGTCATGCTCCCAGCAAAGGGAGGCAGAATAGAAAGAGGAGGGGCAGGGTGGGCCAGCTGGGAGAAGCATGGCGAATGTAGTCCAAGGGAGCAGACTTCCCAAAAAGCTCATCTGAGGGAGGGCAGGCCTCGACCATAGCAGTCTCAAGTTGTTCCTCCTCCCCTGATCCCCAGGGAGGGCCACATCAGAGGCCCCTTGAGTCCGGCACCAGCCTGAGCACTCATGGGGGTGGAGTGAGGGCGACAGGCTCTAAGAAGATGAAGGAGTGATGGCATGACCCAAGTCTAGCCTTTCTTCCAGGCCCTGTGCCACCCTGTCTCTTGCTTAGAGGACGAACATGCTGGTATATCCAGACGTGCCCAAAAAGTTGTGCAAGTTTAGTGCTTTCTTGGGTTCAACACCAGCAGAAGGCAGAGTAGAACCAGTGAGGGGCAGGCAGGGAGAGGCATGGTCCAGCCTATACAGAGGTAGTTCTTCAGGCAAAAGAGGCCTTTGAAAAGACTGAACCAGGAGCACTTAATAACAGGGCTATAATGAAGCAGAACCCCTGATAATGACCTCCAATCAGCCCCAGGAGCCTTGCTTTGTTTTTTCTACCGGGGCAGGGGCTAAGCCCGGCAGGCTTGGCACCTAGCAGAGGGCCTGCAGACCACCCATGCTCAGACAGGGTGCACCAAAGGGATGCAAATAACCTCATCAAGCAAGGCTCGCAGGGATTTCTAGCGCAGCAGAGCAGAAGCTGCTACCTTTTTCCTAGGGATGCAGCACGTGCCAGGTACTGTGCCAAACACCAACATCCATTAGCTCATGTAATCCTCTCAGAACACTGTGGAGATGGGTCCTGCAGTATTCCTATCTTGCTCATGTGAACACAGGCGGCCTGGAGATGGCCAGGAGCTTGCCCCAGGCTGTGCAGTTAGTAAGGTGGCAGGCTACTTTACAAAGCCAGGTTCTGGGCATCCACAGTTACAGTGCCTTCCACTTGCCTCTGCAGAGCCAGAGAGATGCCAGCGCACAAGACAGAGCTGGAGACAAAGGTTCATGTCCAGCTGAAGCCACGTCAAGGAGAGAAGCCAGTAACCAGGGTGAGGGCTCAACAAGCGGCCAGCATCAGAGCCTCTCAGGGCAGCCTCGATGCTGGCTGCCCGCTCCAAGGTCAGAGGGCAAGCAGCTGATTTGTGCCAAATGCCCCATTCTCTCTGCTCAATGGGGTTTTGTTAACCAAAGTTTGTAGGCCTACAGATTTCTGTCCAATCTGGTTCAGAAATACTGCGTACAGAGCTTTCCTGCCTGGCACTTCTGGGGCAGAGGAAATTAATAACTCCCTTTAAGGCCAGGCGCAGTGGCTCACAACTGTAACCCCAGCACTTTGGGAGGCCAAGATGGGTGGATCACCTGAGGTCAGGAGTTCAAAACCAACAGGACCAACATGGTAAAATCCCATCTCTACAAAAATACAAAAATTAGCTGGGCATGGTGGCAGACACCTGTAGTCTCAACTGCTCGAGAGGCTGAGGCAGAATCGCTTGAACCTGGGAGGTGGAGGCTATAGTCAGCTGAGATGGCTCCACTGCACTCCAGCCTGGGCAACAGAGTGAAACTCCATCTCAAAAAAATAATAGGCTGGGTGTGGTGGCTCACGCCTGTAATCCCAGCACTTTGGGAGGCAGAAGCAGGCGGATCACCTGAGGTCAGGAGTTCAAGACCAGCAGCCTGATCAACATGGAGAAACCCCATCTCTACTAAAAATACAAAAAAAAAAGAAAAAAAAAAAGAGCCAGGCGTGGTGGCGCATGCCTGTAATTCCTCAGCCTACTCTGGAGGCTGAGGCAGGAGAATTGCTTGAACCCAGGAGGCAGAGGTTGAGGTGAGCCAAGATCACGCCATTGCACTCCAGCCTGGGCGACAAGAGCAAAACTCTGCCTCAAAACAAAACAAACAAAAAAACAACTAATAGTAATAATAACTCCCTTTAAGTGTCCAAACAAAGGGGCCCAAAAAGACTGTGGAGGGGCACAGGAGCAGGTGTGTTTAGCTCCTCCCTGCATGGCCAGGCTGTTTCCACTCTGCTCCTGGAGCTCCGCGTGGTAGTTCCAACGCAAGAGAACCCAAATTCCACACACTTCTTTGAAGCATTCCTGCCAGAGACTTCCAGCTGACTGAGGAGTCCCCAGTGACTGTCCCCCCATTCTCCTCCCACTACTGGCCACTAGGCGAGGCCACCAATCGGCCCCCTGCATCTTAAGCACCCCAGGAATGTGCTGTTCATCAACAAGAGTTAGGGTTCCCCATGAAGAATCCCAGATGCAAGGCAAGCTGGATGCTCCACTTCAAGGGATTTTGTTAGAAACCACAGACACAGCCCCACTGTCGCCAGGCATCTGGGTCCTTGCGGGGCAGGGGGGGAATTCAGTAGAGGAGCGAGTGGTGGAGGAAAGGGACTGTGTGATCTCCAATTCTATGACCCTTTCTCCTAAGAGGCATGTGAGGGAGGGCACTAGGGCCCTGGGCTTGGCATCCCATGGTCACCACAAGCCTGCCCAGGATGGGCACACTGCCAGGAACATCTAATGAGCCCCCTGGGATGAGGCAGGAAACCGCCTCAGGCCACGCTCAAGGGAGAGCCATTCAGTTACCAGGGCTTTCCCCTCTGGGACTCCCAGCCAGCCTAGGACCCGCACGTAGGTAAGAGAGGGAGGTGGGTGTGAGGGCCAGGAGGAAGGCCAGAAAAGGGGGCACTCCAGGGCACAGTGGAACTCAGTCGAGTGTAGATACATGCTCACAAGTTCAGGTAGCTGGGTGCTGCTACACTATGCCAGGGCTTTGGTGGGACCAGAAAAAGAGGCCCCTCTCGGCAGACCCAGCCCCAAGAACACAAAGCAGAAGGGGTCTTTTGCTCCAGGATTCCCAGATTGGAGAGATGAATGTGGACTGCATTTCAGATCCTCTCACCCTGAGCTGGGCACCGTGGTACAATGCAGGCCTGCCCCTGGCAGCCCTGATGGGTGAATGCAGCTGTGAGAGAAGCCTGGGAGCAGTCACAGGCCTGCAGAAGTGGACCAGGTCTGCAGCTGCGTGGGTATTAATAACCAAGTGTTCTAGCTGCTCCTCAGGAAGCAGGTCCTCTCTATTCCTCTCACTGCTCCCCAATTCTGCCTTCTAACTATCCTGTGATTGTCCCACCCAGTTCCAGAGCTGGACACGAAACCTACTGCCTTTTGACATGGCCCCTGAGCTAGCCCAGCTTTCCCAAGGCTGTAAGCGGAGTCCTTTGGAGCATGTGTCGCCATCTCACCTTGCCTTCTCCCAAAACCCAGAGGGTCTGATGGCAAAGGGAGTTGAAGCAGCAGAGCAGCAGGCCTGGGGACAGTTTCACCTGTTCCTCCTGACTTCACAAGCTGGAGTACCCAAGGGGCTCTACCCTGTCCTAACCCCAGGCAGAATTGCCTCAGATCTGAGCTGAATGCGTAACAAGAATGATAGGTAACACTCATTCAGCGGTTCCTGTATCAGGCCCCATCCTAAGGACTTTTCAAACAGGAGCTGATTTAATCCTCACTACCTTGAGGTAGGTGCTATTATTTTCTCTGTTTTACAGATGAAGCGACCAAAACCCAGAAACTTTAAGTAGCCTGCTCAAGGTCACATAGTTACTAAGTGGCTGAGGTAGCATTTAAACTCAGGTCATCTGCAATATTTCACAGAGGGGCTCAGCTAGGGTGACTTGAGTCGCTAAGACCCTGCCTTAATTTAAGTGCTGATTCTACCATTTCCTTTTGTAAATAGGATGCTTTCAGGGGTGGGATACTGTGAGGAGATGGAAGTCTGGTAAGCTGCAGTCTGTGGTCTCTCATTTATACATGCTTTACTCCAGTTCTGACAATATTGCCACCCATGAGTTAAAGGGCCTGCAGATACAACATCTGTTGGGCACTTGTAAACCTCATCCCCAGTAACACACCTTGCCAGGCACCTGCGACGCTGCCTATTTTCAGATGAGCAAAGCGGGGCACTGGGAGAAGGCACGCACTTGCCCAGTGGAAGAAATGGGCTTGGGATCCAGGACCCTCTGAATCCAAAGCCCAAGGGCCCCAAGAAGAGCTGGAGAAGCAACGCGATGGAAGGGAAGAGGAGAGGGAAGAGGAGAGGGAAGGGCGGAGGGCTGAAACAGGCGGTGGCCACAGATGTGAGCTCCAGGCCAGGAACCCAGCCCGCCAGGATGTTACTTCCAGGTCACTCTGAAGAGGGGTCGCGCCCAGAGCTGCCCCCATCCGCAGTCTGGCCGCTCCCAGGGCCTGGAGGTCTCTCCATGCTGGGGCTTGGGGCTGCACTGGTCAGCGAGGGATGGAGGGGTGGAGAGGGAGGTTCGGGCGCCCGCCCGCCCCACCACAGCTCCCGGCCCTGCAGTGACTTGCTGGGAATACCAGAACCCCAGTGTTTATAGGACGGCAAGCACGGGCCTTCCTCTACCCGAGCCGTCCTCGGGGGCGGCACCGCGGTCGGCTCCGTTCAGCATCAAAGACAAGCAGATGGGCAGCGGACCCCGCCGAAAGTGCATCCTCCTAGGGGAACTAGCCGGGACGACAAAGCGGGCGAGACCCCCTCCCTGCCCAGAAAGAAAACTGAAGAAAGGGGCACGCGGCCCCCCAGCTCTCCTCTCCTCTCCCTCCCTCCCCGCAGCGCTTCGACAAGGGAATGGGTCCTAATGGCCCCCGTGCCTCCGAAAGGTCCCCTCCTCCGTCCTTTGTCACGGCCGCCTCCGCACGAGGCTGGTCCCCGAAGCCCTTCTCCCCCGGCCCCAGCACTCACCCAACGGCAGGCTGATCCGGGGGCTGAGCGCCCAGGTCGGAGGCTGCGGCAGCAGAAGCAGCAGAAGCGGCAGCAGCAGGAGACTCAGCGGCGGCAGCGCGCCCAGCGGGGCGGCGGACCGGCTCCCGGGGCCCATCGCGGCGCGCAGCCCTTGGACCGCAGGAGCGCCGGTGTCCCGCGGCTCGGGCTCAGGTGGCTCGGCTGGAATCGCAGCGGCAGCTCCGCGTCCGCAACTCTGCCCCCGAGTCGCCCCGGACCTGGGGGGGCGGGAGGTGGGAGACGGGGTTACGCGAGCCCTGAACGCAGCCTCTCCGCTGAGCGCTGCCGTCCTCCCGCCAGCGCCTGCCCCGCAGCCTCTGCTAGCACGGAGCTCGCCCACCAGCGGCGGGGGGCGGGGCCGAAGGAGGAAGTCGCGGTGAGCCCGGCCGGCCCCCTTCCCCTTCCTCTTTCCCGGGCGCTGGCCGCGTGAGGGGCGGCAGCGTGGGGTGGGGGCGGCCGCTGGCAGCCAAGCCTGGGGTCGGTAGCTGCGGCCGCCGGAACGCTGGGAAGCGGACGGAAGCGACCCCTAGCTCCCCGCGCTCACCGCTCAGACCCTCCCACTGCTGCCCGGGCCCCGGCCCCGGCCCCTTCCGGCTCCCCTGGGACCCTCTGCTAGCGGCGTTGGTTTGGGGACACGCCGCGTCTCTCCACTATGCGCCGGGCGAGTCGGGGGGAAGAGGATCAGGCCTTGGTCTCCTCCCTTTAGGCGTCCCCTCCCCCTTGCTCCTGGCGACCCCTCTTGCTCCTGTAACCAAATGAACTCGGCAGAGCTCGTGCTGACACCGGGGCTAGCTGCTGGAGAGTCTAATTTTTGCACAGGTCAATCCACTGCAAGTCATGGCTGGGCATTCATTACAAGCTCAGCGCTTAGTCTAGCTACCCTACGGACTTGTCCACGCGAAGCCCCTCGGGTGGCGGAAGGACAAGATGAGCTTAAGTGGGATAATAGGATTTAATATACTGCTGAGGAGGTGAGACCTTCACAACCTGCACGTGGCCAGGCAGTGGAAAGGCTCCCACTGAGACTGGAGTGGAAGCCCAGAGGCACCCACCCGAAATCCTCCTGGCTCCTAACATCTCAACGTGGGGAGCCCAGCTCTGCTGAGACCAGGGATTTCCAGCTGCAGCCTGGACCATTAGCGGATTCTGAAATCAATTTAGTGGATCCCAACCGCATTAAGAAACAAAGAAAACCCAGAAACTATCTAAGAGTAATAATGTCAACGGATAAGTAACTTTGGGAAAGCGACTTCCGCTTTTCCTAAGTGTGCACAGGATTACAGAAAGATGTAGCAGTTCCTCCTGTAGTTAGAGTGCAGAAGAAACTTGAAAGCCCCGGCTAGTTATTTCCACGGCAGTAGAGACCACCTCTCCATAAATTTGCTTGTCATCCTTGCACAGGGGCCGTGCTAATCTTACCTATATCGGCCCAATTTTAGTATCTGTGCTACTGAAGCAAGTACTCCATAAATTTGCCGTAATTGCAGGAAAGCTCCTCTTCACCCCCAGCCCGAATCAGCCTCTTCACAGCACCTTTTTCCTCTCCTCCCCACTTCCAGGCTCTGCCACATCTGCTCCCACAACAGGGGTGCTGTCAAGAGGGTGGGCACAGCACCCACATGGTCCCAGATCTCCTTTCCTGCAGCTATGCTTCCTCATGCTCCATGATTTCTGCACCTCCACCAGCCTGACGACACCCTCCTGTGACATGGTGCAGGCTAGCAGCCTCCCTTTTAAAGGGAGGACACAGAATTCCACGTAAGACGTGGACAGCACCAAGCACCCAGCACCCATAGTGCTACTACTGTCCAGGTTTGGATGCTTTACTCTAAATGGGGTCAATCCACCTATAGCCTGAGATACCCGAACTACTGTCTGCAGCCCAGTCCAGCCCTGCTCAGCCCTTCACTCCATATGGCCTAACATTTCTACTTGGCTGTCTGAAAAGCATCTGAAACCCGCATGTCCCAAACTAAGCTCCAGATCTCTCCCCTTTTTCCGCAATGTGCTTCACCTACAGCCTTCCCCATCTCATTTAATGGCAATTTCATCTTTCAGTTGCCGAGGCCAAAACCCCAGCTCCTCTCATTCTCTCACTCCTCAAATCCAATCCATTAGCAAATCTACAATCCGACCACTTCCCAGCTCCCTGGGGCCCAAGCACCATCCTCTTTCTCCCAGTTACAGCAAGGGCCTCTAACTGTTCTCCCTGATTCCTCCTTGCTTCCCCTACAATCTGTTCTCAACACAGCAGCTGAGTGAGTCTTTAAAACACAAGCCAGGCTAGGGCTTTCCTCTGCTCAAAATCGTCCAATGAGAAGGACCTTACTTGCAGTGTTCTGCAAAGCCCTGGGTCATCCCCACCAGCGGTGCCACTGCATCCTCTCCTCCTCTTCCCTCACTCTCCCACGCCAGGTTCGTGTGCTGTAGCCTGAACACAGCAGACTCTGGCCTGGCTGCTCCTTCACCTGGCACACTCTTGCCCCAGATAACCACAGGACTGGGTCCCTTGCTTCCTTCAAATCTTTGCTCATTTATCACCTTAAAGAATCGGAACTTCCTCCTCATATGCCCCTTATCTCCTTAAAAATACCTTGAGATATTTTCTCAGAGCACTCATCACTGTGTAACATACGATAGGATTAATTAGGTAAGGTTTTTCTTTATTGTCTGACATTCCACCTCCCCCAGAATGCTGACTGGGAGGGCAGAGATTTTTGCTTATTTGGTTTGTTGAGTATTATACCTCAAGCCTTTAGATCAGTGCCTGGTACATGGTAAGCAGGACCTCAATAAGTACTGGCTGAATGAATGAATGAATGAATGCCACTTGAGTCACAGAATACTGCTGACTCATGTCGGCTGATGACCACAACTATTTTTTTTATATCAACTTTGGTCCAGTAAAGAGTTTACCAACCCTGGGCCGGGTGTGGTGGCTCACGCCTGTAATCCAAGCACTTTGGAGGCCAAGGCAGGCAGATCACCTGAGGTCGGGAGTTTAAGACCAGCCTGACCAACATAGTGAAACCCTGTCTTTAAAGCTATTGATAAAAATATTGGGTGAGCAGATCGAGCACCTACATCTTGGTTTCCCTTTTTTCTTTTTTATTGGGACAGGGTCTCGCTCTGTCACCCAGACTGGAGTGCACTGGCAAGATCTTGGCTCACTGCAACCTCCACCTCCCAAGCTACATTGATCCTCCCACTTGAGCCTCCCAAGTAGCTGGGACTACAGGCGTGCACCACCACACCCAGCTAATTTTTGTATTTTTTGTAGAGCAGAGGTTTCATCATGCTGCCCAAGCTGGTCTGGAACTCCTGGGCTCAAGCGATCCACCCACCTCAACCTCCGGAAGTTCTGATTACAGGCATAAGCCAGTGCACCCAGCCAATCTTCATTGCCTAATCCTACTCTCTGATAAGAGGAACCAGGATTCTTTGAATGAATGTAAGAGAAAGTGTAATGTAAACATGGGACATTTTGTTGGGCCAGAAAGCAGTGATCAGAGACGAATGAGGTCATGTCAAAAGGACATAGGAAGCTGGTGTGGTGGCTCATGCCCGTAATCCCAGCACTTTGGGAGGCCGAGGTGGATAGATCACGTGAGGTCAGGAGTTTGAGGCCAGCCTAACCAACGTGGTGAAACCCGTCTCTACTAAAAAATGCCAAATTAGGGCCGGGCGTGGTGGCTCAAGCCTGTAATCCCAGCACTTTGGGAGGCCGAGGCGGGTGGATCACGAGGTCAAGAGATCGAGACCAACCTGGTCAACATGGTGAAACCCCATCTCTACTAAAAAAAATTAGCTGGGCATGGTGGTGCATGCCTGTAATCCCAGCTACTCAGGAGGCTGAGGCAGGAGAATTGCCTGAACCCAGGAGGCGGAGGTTGCCTTGAGCCGAGATCGCGCCATTGCACTCCAGCCTGGGTAACAAGAGCGAAACTCCGTCTCAAAAAAAAAAAAAAACAAATTAGCCGGGTGTGGTGGCAGACTCCTGAAATCCCAGCTACTCCGGAGGCTTAGGCAAGAAAATCAGTTGAACCTGGGTGGGGGGTGGAGGTTGTCAAGATCATACCATTACACTCCAGCCTGGGCAATAGAGTGAGATTCCATCTCAAAAAAATTTAAAAAAGACATAGGGTAGCTTGATGACCAATTTGAGCATTAAAAGTATAATGAAGTAATGATGAAGTAGTGGATTAATACATTAAATTAAAAAAAAAATCCACTAGTCCACAGTGAAATTCAAAGAGAGAGAGAAAAAAAATTAAGAGGTGAAAAGGAAGCTTTTCTTTTTTTTTGAGACAGAGTTTCGCTATTGTTACGCAGGCTGGAGTGCAATGGTGCAATCTCGGCTCACTGCAACCTCCACCTCCTGGGTTCAGGCAATTCTCCTGCCTCAGCCTCCTGAGTAGCTGGGATTATAGGCACGCGCCACCATGCCCAGCTAATTTTTTGTATTTTTAGTAGATACGGGGTTTCACCTTGTTGACCAGGATGGTCTCGATCTCTCGACCTTGTGATCCACCTGCCTCGGCCTCCCAAAGTGCTAGGATTACAGGCTTGAGCCACCACGCCCGGCCAGGAAGCTTTTCTTTACCAAAAAATGTTGGTTAATAATGTAGAAGAGGCCGGGCGTGGTGGCTCACACCTGTAATCCTTGCACTTTGGGAGGCTGAGGTGGGTGGACCACCTGAGGTCAGGAGTTCAAGACCAGCCTGGCCATCATGGTGAAACCCCATTTTTAAAAAAATAAAATAAAAAATAAAAATAATAATAATGTAGAAGAAATGATGATAGAATTAGAAAATCTAGATTCAAGCAGTGAATGAGAAACACTGGGTGCAAGATTGTTAGGAAACTGTATGTTAACCAAGTCTGTCCCAGAAATGACTCACTCTAATACCAAAGAGAACATTTATCTCTAAGGGAGAGATCCGGTGGCCACCATCTAAACCAAGTAGTCAAAAGTAGCATCACAGTAATGGGTAATTCACCTCTTGATATAATGCAATAAGTAGTGAAAAATCGGCTGGGCCCGGCAGCTCACAACTGTAATCCTAGCACTTTGGGACGCCAAGGCAGGCAGATTGCTTGAGCTCAATGGTTCTGGACCAGCTGGGTAACACAGCAAAACCACGTCTCTAAAAAAATTACAGAAATTAGTCAGGTATGGTGGCGCATGCCTGCAGTCCCAGCTACTTGGAGGGCTGGG